GGGGCCTCGAAGCCCCTGCCCGTCTCCTGGGCTGGCCACGCCCCGGCCCGCGCGACCTAGCCGCAAGGAGCTCACGGTGCGGTAAGGAACGTTTTTGAAAGCTAACTTTATTTTTACTAATGACGTATGCCCATTGTTAAAGATTCTAGCAATGCAGAAAAGTCCAACGAAGAAACAAAAACAAGCATCCGAAATGTCACCCAGAAATAATCATTGGTGGGTTACATTTGGGGAAAGTAGCGTTCCAAACTGTGGTAGGTGCGTCTAAACAGAGGAACGGTTTCAGGAAGGTGAGAGCACACCTTCATGCTATTTAAAAATATATATATATATTTCCCCTGAATTGATATAAGAAAAACAAATGAATCTAAATGGCATTTTAGATAAATGTTTTTTCCCTACGAGAGATGCAATATCCCAAAACGTAACTATGTATACTCAGGGCGAGCTTCATGGGCTGATGACCTGGGCTGCTCAGAAGAGCCTGATGCTTGGTTTCATGCTCTGCTGACACTATCTAGAAATTCTTAATAGTTTTTGAACAAGGGGCCTTGCCCTACGTTTTCATTTTGTGCCTAGTAGCTGATTTTGTCTATAATTGTGGGGAAGAAAAGTATGAAAGCTTGTACACCAATGTTCATTGCAGCATGGTACACAATAGCCAAAAGATGGTAACAATCCAAGTGTCCTTCAACAGGTGAATAGATAAACAAAATGTGGTCTATCCACACCATGGACTATTACTGAGCCATAAAGAGAAACAAAGTTCTGTTACATGCTGCGGCATGAATGAACCGTGAGAACATTCTGCCAAGTGAAACAAGCCAGACACGAAGGGACAGATACTGTGTGATCCCGTGTGTGTGAAGTGTCTAGGATAGGCAAATGTTAGAGACCAAGGTTGACTAGTGGTTACCTGATCCCGTGTGTGTGAAGTGTCTAGGATAGGCAAATGTTAGAGACCAAGGTTGACTAGTGGTTACCTGATCCCGTGTGTGTGAAGTGTCTAGGATAGGCAAATGTTAGAGACCAAGGTTGACTAGTGGTTACCTGATCCCGTGTGTGTGAAGTGTCTAGGATAGGCAAATGTTAGAGACCAAAGTTGACTAGTGGTTACCTGGGGTGGGAGGGAGAGGGAGAAGGGGGAGTCTTAGCTTCGGGGGCCCCGAGTTTCTGTCAACGGTTGTGGATCACTCTGGGAATGGACAGTGGTGACGGTCACACAACATGATGAACGTAACCAGTGTTAGTGAACTGTGCATGTAAAAAAGGTTCACTTGGCAAACACTTTGTTATATATATTTTAACCACAATAAAACAATTTTTAAGAAGTTATGAAAACCTCTAAGGGGCTAAAATCTATGTTTTTAACCCCGTGGTTCAATTTCAAATTGTCTTTGCTTATTTCCCTTGCTCAAGAAGCGAGTGTTACGGTCACTTCCTCCCCTTCCCTCACTGCTTGGTTGCTCTCACTCCATCACTGTCACAATGTCAGTGTTCCGTCCTACGGCCCAATTGTAGCAGTTATTTGAACTTGGCCACCAGCAGGCATTTACTAGGTGTCTACTTCGTGCGTGGCGTGGCTCTAATGCTGGCGAGAGAGCGGAGAGATCCCTGCCCTGGTGGAATTTACCAGCGGGAACAGATTATAAAGAGATTAGCATATAAACCTGTAATGTCGGGTAGTGATAAGTGCTATGCAGACCAGCAAAGCAAGGAAGTGGGGGAGAGTGATGAAGTCTATTTTAAATACGATGGTCAAGAAAGACCTCCAAGAGGTGAGGTTTGTGGTCCCAGATGAAGGGACCTATGCAGGTACAGGATGGGGGCATAGAACATGCAAAGGTCCAGCGGTGTAAGACGCGTTTGGGTGCCCTGGGAACAACAAAGGGGCCAATGTGGCTGTCGGGCAATGAGTGAGGGGAAGGGGAGAGCTGGATCAGGAAGAGCCACAGTGGACGGAATGGCCTCTGGATTTCATTGTAAGCATGATGGGAAGCCTTTGGAGGCTTGAGAGCAGAGGAGAAATGTGCTCTCTGTCGTATCTTAGGAGGGTCCTTCTGGAAGCTAAATGGAGAAGAGGCAGTGAAGGAGAAGGGGCAGGAGGGGAAGGAGGGAGACCCTGAGGCAGCTAAGACCCCAGAGGACAGAAGACGGTGGCAGCAAAGGTTGAGCGGTGGCTGGTTCCAGAACAAACGTTGCCGAAGAGATGACAGGACTGGCTGACGGACTAGGTGTAGGAGAGAAACTAAGGACTGAGCCACGGTTTCTGAGACATGCCATAGAGATGGAGCCATTCATGGAGACGGGGTGGCTTCTAGGGCAGCCGGGTGTGCAGGTCTTGACATTGTGGGGAGGGTTTCAAAATGAGGGACACGTTTTCTGCGATGCTTTGTCACCGTGCAATGCTGTCAAAGCACAAAGAATGATTCTGACTGCACACTTTGAACAAGGCCCATCTCATTTGCAAGGATATCATACAAACAAAACCAAACCCAGTGCTGTCGAGTTGATGCCAACTTACAGCGACCCTATAGGACAGAGTAGAACTGCGCCATGGGGTTTCCAAGGATATCACAGCTCTCCATTTTTTTACCTGGACAATCTAGAACCGGTCTTGGCCTGTTATTCCTACTTCAGTTCTTCCCTGCTTTCCTTTATCAAATAAAGGGGCTGGCTGTAGGGGAAGGTCCTTCTTGTCTCTTACAGCTTCTGGTGTCGTTGTAGGATGCTGTGGAGTCAGTTCCAACTTATAGTGACCCCATGTGACAGAGTAGGGTTTTCTAGCTGTAATCTTTACAGAAGGAGATCGCCAGGTCTTTCTCCTGAGGAGCCGCTGGGTGGGTTCGAACTGCTGACCTTTCAGGTAGCAGCCAAGTGCTTAACCACTGAGCCACCAGCACTCGGTGGAGCTGCCAGCAATCCTTGGCATTCCTGGGCTTGTCGATGCGTCTGTCTCCATTGTGACATGGTGTCTGTCCTCCACCAGCGCGCGCGCACGTGTCTCTATGTCTCTACCCTGATCGTTTTATAACTCAGAAGCGGTTAACTTTAGGATCCGCCCTGTTCCGTATGGCTTCATTAACATAATAAAAGAAAACCCCCATTCCCAAACAGGCTCATACTCACAGGAACAGGGTTTAGGACTCACGTTTCTTTTGCGGGGACACAGTTCAATCCACAACACTGACAGAACAGAGCTGAGTCCCCAGCTGGACCCTGCAGGGTGTCCATGAGGCCAGCCCCCCCAGTGCCCCAGGCACTGGGATGACGCAGGGCCCAGGCGCGGAATCAGATGCAGAAGAAAGACCGCTCGCGTCTCCACAGGCCGAGTCTGCCATACGCCCTACAATGTGATGCCTCCCATGATCCACCTGTGACCGCCACGCGTCTGGCCCAGCCTCCGTGGTCGGACAGAGAGGTGCAGGGACTGGCGGGCCTGTCCTCCTCTTGGGCTGAGGGCTTTCCCTTCAGGTGGAGGATGGAGGAGGGGGAAAGAAGCCCCCTGCTTGGCCAGGTGAGCCACGCCCTATCTCCTCACGGGGTTGGAGATGTTCCGCAGCCCCAAAGTCGTGTGGGAGGTGGGGGCTTACTAACCAGCACAGTGACTCCCCACTCAGACCCGCCCAAACTGTAACGGGTGACCCCAGCCTTGCCCTTTGATGCAGCAGGGAGGTGCATCCACGCCGCCGGGGACAGGCCATCAGGCCTCCCTTGTTCCCTCCCTGGTCCCCTCTGCCTGTGGCCTTTTTACCCTGCCAGTCCCCACCCCCCATCGATGATTCTAGCTCAGACCCCTGGGCGGTGGCTCTGGGAGGGTCTCCCCTGAGGCTCTGGGGGCCACCTCTGGCTCAGGGTGCAAGAAGGGGTGAAGATGATAGTTCTCCCGGCCAGCCTTGCCCTGGTCCGCACCACCCATCACCTCTGCAGTACCTGTCCAGCCAGCCTAGCACCTTAGTCTGACCTTGGCTCCCATCTGACCTTGGCTCCTACTTACTGGTTGGGTTCTGGGCTGATAAACTATCCTCCTCTCCTCTGAGTTCAGGGGGAAGGAGCCGTCGTCCTCCGTGTGGGAGTCAGGCGGACAGGGAAAGCTAGACTGGCAACCCTGAGCCAGCAGGGAACCAGCGCTCTCTACTTCTCCCCGAGTCAGACTTGGTCACTGGCAGAACTGGATGCTGGCAAGTCTCTCCGACAGGGACAGACAGGGGCAGGCAGGGGCAGGCAGGGGCAGGCAAGCAGGGACAGTAGGGGCAGGCAGGCATGGGCAGGCAGGCAGGGACAGGAGGGGCAGGCAGGGACAGGTAGGGGCAGGCAGGCAGGGACAGGCAGGCAGGGACAGGAGGGGCAGGCAGGGACAGTAGGGGCAGGCAGGGGCAGGCAAGGCCAGGCTGCTTCCCCTCCTCCCTGCACAGAGGAGCCTCCTCCCATACCTGTGGGTAGGGTGGGAACAAGGGGGCTGGAGATTTAAAATTGAGATCGTCCATTGAGGGGCCAAGTGGAGCAGGCCTGCAGCTTCTCGACCGAGAGAGAGGGGAGCGAGGCCCCCACGCCCCCAAGGACACCTGTTTATTACTCACAATTGGTGCGGCCCCCTCCAGGGCTTGGCTGAGGTCCCACCGGAGGACGAGGCAGGTGCCCCCACAAGGGTCCTGCATCCCATGCACGCAGAGCCGCATCCATGGGCGCCCCTCTCCCTGCCCTAGGAGCCTCACGGCAGGGCCCTGGCCTGTCCCTCTCAGCATCCACATGCACGGATGCTCAGTCGTGGGCCTGACTGGCTGGATCCAGGGCCCTCGAGGCTAGTTTCGTCGGGGTGCAGCCTGGTCAGCCCCTACCTCCTCTCCTGGGTGGGGAGGGCCCTCTGGTGACCCCAACAAGCTCAACACTGCAGACACGTATGGATAAACCTGAGCAGACCCGCTTCAAAGTCCGGGAAGACACAGTGCCACTGCCACGGGCCTCCATAAGTCCAAACCAGGGTCTCGGTCATGTCGGTTCCTTCTGGGGGCTCTGTCCTAGCTTCTGGTGTCTGCTGGCAGCCTTGGTGTTCCTGGGCTTGCAGACGGGTCCTCACCTGGCGTGTCTTGGCCCGTGTGTCTCTGTGTCTATTCTGCTCTTTTCACAAGACATCCCTCAGGAGGGATTAGGTTTAGGACCCACCCTACTTGTACGACCTCATTAACTTGACAAAAGGAAACCCTATTTCCAAGCAGAGTCATATTTACTGCTATGAGGGTTACAACTTGCACGTCACTTTTTGGGAAACACGATTCAATCCATGACACTGTTTGTCGTGGGGTCACATTGCTGAGGTCCCCCATCCCTCCTTCCTCTGCAGGATGCTGTGGGGCTGGAGCTGCCCCCCTCCACGAGCAGCCTACCCACTTCCAGCTGCCCACATCCATCACCCCGGGAGGACCACTCAGGGGCCTGGGGCTGCATCTGCTGTCCTCCGGGGGCCAAGCGCCGGTCCTGGAGGGGTGGCCTTCGGAGGAGCCCAGCTACCTCCCTCCCCGCTGGGAGCACCTGCATCAAGTACCTGACCTTCCTGTCCAACTTCCTCTTCTCCCTGCTGGGCCTGCTGAGCCTGGCAGCCGGGCTCTGGGGCCTGGCTGTCAAGGGGCCTGTAGGAAGCAGCTGGGGGTGCGCCCTGCCCACAGACGCCATGCTGGGGCTGGTTCTGGGGGGGCTGGCGATCAGCGCAGTGAGCCTGGCTGGTTGCCTGGGTGCCCTGTGTGAGAGCCCCTGTCTGCTGCGCTGCTTCTCTGCCGGCCTTCTCGTCTTTCTGGCGCTAGAGGCCACGGCTGGCATCCTGGTGGTAGCCCTCTGGGGCCCGCTGTGGGACAGCCTGGACCATGCCCTGCACGTGGCCATCAGCCACTACCAGGACAACCCAGACCTCTGCTTCCTCCTGGACCAGGTGCAGCTGAGGCTGCAGTGCTGCGGGGCCATCTCCTACCGGGACTGGCAGCTGAACCCGTGAGTCGGGGAGCAGGGTGGATCGGGGGGTGGGAGGACAGGTCACACACTCACACGTACACCCATTCACAGGTGCTCACACACTAGTGTGCTCACGTGCACATGTGCTCACATAGACACGCGTACACACTCACATATGCTCACAGCACACACACCCACTCACTAATCTCACACACTCGTGTGCTCACACACGAGTACACACTCGATAATCTCAGTCCCGTGTGTTCGCACGCACACACTCGCACATGTGCTCTCACACACGCGACTAATTCTCATACGCCTACATGTGCTCACACTCACGCGTATACTCACGTGTGCTCACACATGCACACACTCACACATACTCATAGACTCAGACTGTCTGCTCCCCACCACGCTCTGTGGACCATCTAGAAGCCTCCGCCAGGGCTGCCCCTCTGCCCACCCTCTGCGCTCCAGCTCCGCTGCTCAAACCCTCGGGAAGCACCTGCTGAGTGACCTGGTCTTCTCGCACTCCTCACCAAACGCCTTCATCTCGCCTTCAGCCGTCTCACTACATATTTCCCTTCCCGCCGAGACAGCTACTAAAATTGGCCTGCGTGTGCAGAGGGCCACCATGCACAGGGATACATTATAGAAACCTGGGTATCGTTGCGTGTGTACACGTGTGTGCACGCGGGTATGTGTGCATGTGCTCGTGTGTGCGTGTGTCCGTGAGCACACATTCTCGTGTCTGTGTGCACACATGCACGGGTGTATGTGCAAGCATGCTCATGTGCAACCGTGCATCACAGGTGTCCGTGCACACGTGCCCATGTGAGCACATGTGAGTGTCTGAGTGTCCCTGTGCACGCACGTGCCTGTGTGTGACCATGGAAGTTTAAAGGTGAGTAGGAGACTCCAACAGAGCTCCGGTCCCGAGAGCAGGGACCCCCGACCCCCCGGACTGATGCCCTGTCCACTTGGGTTGCAGGTACTTCAACGGCAGCTCCCCCGGGGTCCAGGCCTGCAGCCTCCCTGCCTCCTGCTGCATCGACCCCGGGGAAGAGGGTGCCTCCGTCCACACCCAGTGCGGCTCTGGGGCTCTGCGCCCGGGCGAGGCCGCGGCCCGGAGAGTGGTGCATCTGGAAGGCTGCGGGCCGCGACTACGGGGGTGGCTGCGCCAGAGTGCCTACGTTCTGGGCGGGGGCGCCATAGCGGTGGCCTTGGTCCAGGGCGTGGAGCTCCTGCTGGCTGCACGGCTGCTGAGCGCCCTGGCCGTGCGCCAGGGGGCGGCAGAGGGCGTGCGGCTGAAGCCCGGCCAGCTGCCAACCCTGCTCGATGGCGCTTCCCAGTCCCCGGAGGCCAGGCAGGGGGCGTGAGTGGTCAGGCCGGGATGGGGTCTCAGCTACAGGCCTCTTCTCCAGGCCAGGAAAGGTCTCCATACCCGACCCTGGGTGCTGTGGGCACGGCACCTCAGACACCCGGGCTCTTCCACTTGCGTGCACCCCTCCCCAAAGCCTCGTCCCCGACCGGTCCGCCGCCGCCTGCCCAGGTCTGTCGCCCCTGTCGGCAACCTCCGATGGATGCCTGTGCTGCGGCCCGCCTGCGCTCCGGCTTCTGGAGACATTTGCCCTCCGTCCACCTACTCGCCCACCCGTGCGCTTGCCAGTGCCCCTGCAGGCAGATTGCATGCTGACCCCCAACCTCCGAAAGGTGCTGCCCAGCCAAGGTCGGCCTCCCACGAGGGGGCGGGGGGCAGGTAAAGCACGTGGGGGTTGGACAATGGGCCAGGATTCAATCTGGGTGCCAAGGCCCCACCCCGATGGTCCCCACCCATGAGTCTCCATTCTCAACTCCAACCCTCAGGCCCCATCCTGAGGCTCCACCACCCACCAGTAGAATGGAACAGCACTCCTTCCTGAAAGGATGGGCAGAGTTAGAGGCCCCTGTGGACTGCCCTGGCGGGTGGAAGGGGGCCGCCTCCCCTTTTTGGTCCACTGTGATGGGTGAGAGTGAGGCCCCACCTCTCGGGCCAGGATGCTCTTTTTTGGGGGGAAGGTGTAAATTTCTCGAGATGTAACATTCATACAGTAAACTGCACCAATCTTAAACATTTAGTGTGACAAATTCTCGCCTCGTAAACCCCTGTGGAACCACCACCTAATCAAGCTCCGGTCCCCAGACCCCCTCATCCCCTCCCAGTGAACCCCCCCAGGGGAACCACTGCTGTGGCCCCGTTGCCTCCATCTGCATGGCCCAGAACCACACGACGGGCCTCTTTGGGGTCTTGTTTAGTTGCTGTCTGTGAACAGACGGCAGCGTACAGAACCAGTACGTGCTGACGAGCGTGTGGGCAGTTTTATGGGTTTAATTGTGTCCCCAAAAAAGATAATGTTGATGTCCTAACCTCCTCTCCCCCGTACCTGTGAATGTGACCTGGTTTGGAAATAGGGGCTCTGCAGATGTAATGCGTTAAGAGGACGTCAGACGGGACGAGGGTGGGCCCTCCTCCAGAGATGGATGTCCTCGTGAGGAGGAGACACTCAGATGCAGCGGGAAGACATCGTGTGAGGGCGGACACAAGCCAAGGACTGCCAAGGACTGCCAGGATCCACCAAAAGCCAAGGGCAAGGAAGGACCCTCCCAGAGGGTGACACCCCGAATTCGGATTCCCAGCCCCCCGAACTGCGACGGCACATTTCTGTTCTTTCCAGCCACCCACTCTGCTGTTTGCAATGCCTTCTTACAGTGGGCTCCTGACACGGAGCCCAGTCACGGCCAATGTGCTCCCCTGCTGCCCCCGCCTGGCCATTGTCCCAGGCCCAAGGCAGCCCCACCTTCGCTGTGACCTTCTCTGGCCCCCCATGTGCCCCCTTTTCCTGCTCAAGTTGGTGGTGGTGGGCTGGCTGTGGGGTCCCAAGTCATCAAGCCAAGTCTCAGGGAGGGCTTGTGAGCCAGGGGCTTCCCTCCTCCTCACCTGGCCAACCCCTGCTGCCCCAGCGCCCGCCCCCTGCACCTTGTCCACACGGGTGCCTCCTGTGGAAGGACCCTGCCCATGGTCCTCCTGCGGCTCTATTCCACTCATGACACGCCCTAGACGAGGGGTGTGGGCAGCTAATTTTATTTTGAAACAGACACAGCCCTGGGGACCATGCTGGAAGGACGCGTGCCCACTAGGGTGATGGGTGGTAGAGGGTCTTGGCTCTCTGATGCCCCAGGCTCCCGCCACCCCACCCCCCACCCCAACCATGCTGACCCAGGCCCCCAACTGGGAAGAGCTGGGTAGGGAGTGCCCGGGAGGCTGCCCCCACTGTCCAGTACAGGAAAAGGTGGGTCTTTGGTCCACCACCCCCTCCTGAGCATGGCCTGTGGGAGACCCCCGTCCTCAAGGGCAGGCCGAGGGGTGGACCAGTGTTTCCAGCAGTAAGCAGGGGACAGGGAAGGGCCTGGCGGGTTGAGCGGGTATGCTGCGGGAGCGGTGGGGCCCTGGTAAAACACGTCCAGGTACTGGACGTGGAAGCCTTGCTCTGGTCTCCGAGTGTGACCTGGGCCCCTGAGCACCTGGATGGGGGTGGTGCTCTCCTCTGCGGGACTTCTGAGTGGGTGGCAGAGTGGCGGCAGGGCAGGGCCATGGGCCGGGGCCAGCGCTAGATGATGCCGTACTGGGCCAGCTCGTGCAGCTCCAGGTGGTTGAAGGCCTCCCACGGGCAGATGACCGTGATGTCTGCGGGCAAGGTCAGGCATTGGGAGGGGCCCAAGGCCCAGGGGCCGCTTTAGCCCTCAGGCCCTGCTGTCCACAGACCAAGTGGTGACCCACAATTTGCAGAGGGTGAGAGGTGGGTCGTGGGCCAGGGCCCTCCTCTCGGAACACACCAGCTTCTGGGGAAGGGGGTGTCATGGAGTGGGCTCCCTGCTGAGGAAGGGGGACTTTGCTGGCAGGGGGCTGGGGCAGCAAGGGCTCCCTGTTCTTTTCCAGTCCCTCTCCCCCACTGCCCAGCTCTGGGTGTCCCAGTGGAAGGGGAGGAGACCCACTTCAGTGAGCTCTGAAGCTTGGTGTTGGGAGAAGAAATAAAGGGCGGCCTGGGGGCTGTTCCCAAAGTGAGCCCCAGGGTGGGCAGGGGGCACCGGCCTGGAGGGCTGCAGGGGGGACGCGGTGGGGCCTGGAGGGGGGCAGACGTGGCAGGTACAGCGAGGGCGGCAGGGAGCCGGGCCGTCATACCTGTTCCCAGGCCTTCCATGCCGGGGATGTCATCCCCAAACCTGCAAGGACACAGCGGTCAGACGCGGCACTCGCCTCCGCCTGGCTCATGGCCCAGGTCCAAGGTCGGGACCCTGCCCAGATCCCAGGCACCAGGCTCTGTGTCTCCACCCCAACCTCTGTCTGCTTGGCCGGCCGGGGGCCCAGAGGAACTCTGCCACTCAGAAAATGATGGGGGGAAAGGAAAGGGGAGGGACACGCCCACGTGCGCACAGCAGGGGCTTGGGGAAGACTGTGGGGTGGGGCACGTGGGTGTGTGCCTACTGTGAGTACAGGTCCCTGAGAGTGTGGGGTGTCTGTGTGTTCTGGGGAGTGTGTGTGTGTGTGTGTG